GTCCAGAAATTCATCAGCTGCAGCATCACTATCTCTATATTCACAGTAACGAAAAACCATAGAAAGAATTAAAAAGAACATACATTCAATTATGCACATATATTTGGAGTGGTATTACTTTTTTTTTTTTTTAGAAAAAGGCACCAAAATTCAGGCTCTTTTTACCACCACTCTAAACGAGGTATATACAGTCCGGAATTCATACATACGCGCATACAGATACAATGTGGATTAAACAGTGAAATCCGTTGCACGGTGCCAAAAACAATCAATCAGTACACGGGCCTAGAAAAAAAACGCACAACATATAAGATCATGAGAAATTATTTCAGACAGACACACTTGGCCTGTAAAAGATTGAACATAAAAAAGCATGCGATATTGCAATTGCTGTCTTCATACTACTAATTCTATCAACTCCATACATTTGGATTTATTTTAAAAACGAAACAAAAAAAGAAAATTCTAAAATAACTCAGAAGAAATACTATTTTAAAAAAGGTTTATGGATTATGAATTCGGATAACAGTGATCATAGTAGAAAGACATCAATACAGTGAGGAATTTTCAATAAACAGTAATCAGTTATCGTCTTAAGCAAAACCAAATCCTTCGGTGCATTCACGTACGGCTAGCAATAACATATCCCGAAGTTTATCATATGTTTCATATTGCGGAAGATCCAACTGATTGAAGCTGTAACAATTAAATAAGATAATGAAAATTCACAAAAATGCTTCAATTGCTCCACAGAAATATAAATACCATGTATGTGCTGTTGGTAGCCGATCTGAAGATCGCGAATCCAAATGAATGGAAAATTTCTGTGTACCGTTCATACCCTCAAGAGCAGCAAAACCTTGCAGGGGTACTTTGCTTGTACCAGTAACGAACTGCAGAAACTTTGCACGATCTTCCTGTTCAAATGAACGCAATGCTTTCCAGAACCATTGTATCTGCAATAACAGATTGTACACAGTAACAAGTAGATCAGATTAATAATGCATTATTTATATAGACATTTTGATCATTCTGGTCAATACACCTCTCAGCCTTTGTGAGATTTCAGTGGTCTCTCGTGACCTTTGATCTCACTTGTTTACACGGCACATCACTAGTTCTATATCTTCAACTGCTTACCTTTCATCACCAAAAGGAAAAATAAAGGATAACCTACCTGAGACGAGGATTTAGTGTAAGTCTTGTACTCTGTATTGGCATAGAGATCATCGATATCAACATTTGGAAGCCCACTTATCAACAACTCCAATTCTTGCTCATTGAAAATTGATATTAAATGCTTCGGAATTATTTCGTAAAAGCCCTCCAAAAACGCTTTCAACTGCTGATTAATGGAGCCTGTAAGGTAATGACCGATATACGTCATATAACAACAAAGTATTGAACTGTTTGAAGTGTGCTTGATTCACTTGTATTATTCTCAATGTCACCAGTAATCCTAAAATGTATGTTAGCACTAATAAACACTAAAAGACTAAGTGAAAAAGAACAAACCAGTCATTTTCATTTGACAAACCAGCTTCACATATTCTTCCTTATTTTCATCAGTAACTGGAATAGATGATCCATTTTCTTTCAGCATGCGCATTTTCCTAACTCCAAATTCTTCAACCTCCAAACTAAATGTAAGTTCAGTACCAAGATCTTCGATTGGATTATTGAGCAAGAATTCCAATGACTTGTAGAAACTCGGATCCTGGAATGTACATTAATTGGGAAATGATTTCAGGTTTTCTTTGCTGGTGACGTTTAAGATTAAAAGACTTCTCCAAGCTACACTACATTAGTTCTCGCACCTTTCCCTTACCACTTTCAACCGTCATCGCCTACCTATTCTACAAAAGACCAAATTTAGTTCCCATCTCTTGTTGACAAAAGATAACAATACCTCCGATTCTAAGTCTTGTGCTCGTACAGGAACACTTAAAATGTGTTTATAAAATGCTCGAGTAAAATAACATTCCAATAATTTGTTCTCATATATTGCCTTCGCTATTATTCTTCCAACAAACTGAAAAGGAAGATTACTGTAAAATTTTGAAGGAACGAACAATCCAGAAATATGTCGAAATGTCAAAGTAAGGGAATAGTAAGTGAAAAACCGAAATTCAGAAAATGTTTCCTGTGGATAGAATTTAGGCTACAATTACGCAAAAATGAAACACCTTGAAATATTCCAAATGTTCTGGATTAATATATGAAGTCTTATTGATCATATATGTTACACGATCTCCTGGAGAAGTTATAAAGAGTGCATAGTTCGGATTGAAAATTTCCCGTGTGATGATTGAAAACCATTCACGCAATAATCCACCAGCATCTTGTCCTTCTTCGCCTTCGAAGATGATGTAAAATCTCGCTTTCCATTCCGGACCACGTAGTCTGAATAATTCCCGAAAACTATCGCTGAATAAGTGACTGCGACGAATCCGCACCGCAACGTCTTCGCCTCTACAACGAATGTCGGTAATAAAATCCTCCTCGAATCATTATATAGGGTGAGCAGTAATTCCACACAAGCTAGCGAATTTATAATATTGAACTAAGGCACAAACCTAACACGTTCATCGATTTTCTGCATCTGTTTCCGGAAGTAGATACGTTTGACATCAAAGTCCAACAATTTCGGCATCTGAGTTAGTACTGCGAATGGCCCATCCGTTAAACTACCACCACTCTGCCTCAAAACCTGATTCAACATATTCCGGTGTTTTTCTAAAAATAATTCGCAGTGAGTATCTCTTTTTATAAAATCAATAAAGTTTGAATATCAAAGTCACACAAGTGTTAGTCGGAGTTTTGTGAGCATTCAATAAAATTCATTACAACAATTCTCTTCGAAAACGAAAGAGTTGGATCCATATATCAGTGAGAATACCCAAAAAGACGGTGTTCAGAGAAACTAATAAATGCCAAATCCCAGAATTAGAATCCTTCAGACAGATAAAATAGACATGTAGATGAAGATATATAACTGTAACCTACCTGCGAAATGAAGAAGTTTTTGAGCATCTGGGTGCTCGTGTAGTTTGCTTGGATCAATAGAAGACAATTCCGATCCATATACCAGAAAAAAAGCTTCGGCGCTTGGCTGAAGAGCTAAAGCTGCATGTGCATCTGCATTTGTAAGACGTTTCAGACATCTTGATACAAGTTCCCATAACGGTTCTAACGTATTCAATAATACGCTCATGCTTTCTTCTTTCTAAAACATTGGGGAAATAAATACAACAAGCAGAACGTGTCTGTAAATAATATTTCAAAAACGTTATGCCCTTGCAGAGATATACAAAGAGTTTAACAGAAAGTCTAACAGATATACGGTCTTACAAAGATATAGTATTCTGAAAAAGTCCCAGATTTTATTCCAATTCATATACAGGGAGGAACGTAGAAAGTTTTGGTACCCAGTACTACAATATGCACGACCGGTGAAATCAATTCAAAAAAAAAAAATTTGCAAAACTGCGGTTACGAGCCTTACCTCTGCAAGTCTTTTCCTTTCATTTTCTTCGATTGCATTTTCGTCATCCTCTCCAGGTACATGTTCATCATCCTGCTCACCTGCGGTGTCAATACTCACGTCAACCTCAGTACACCTTGCATGTAATTGCAGTACTTCTCTTATTTTGATAATTGTTTGCAGCGTTCTCAGAAATATATTTTGGATGCCATTTTTGTCAGTAAGTGCTCTCATTGCTGGTAACTGTAGTTCATAACAACCAGATGCATTCATGACTGCCCGTGAATTCAATATTCCACTGATCACAATGACTGATTCATCATAACTAGAATAAAAAAGAAATTGATTTTAGCAATATCACTATGTTTAAAATTTAAGAGTGAATTATATTTCAACTGTCGAACCACCCAGGTTTATCAGCTCAGACCACCACTGTTTGAAGTATCCAGCTCGGAAAGAACCTACAGGGAACTGTCATTTCTATCTGCTTTACTGATTTATAAAAGAAATGAACCTAACCGATTAACTGCAACTTTCGAGCCTGATGGTTGCTGCTCAAGCGATGATGAACGGTTTCCTTCATTGCGCAGCTCTTTCAGCTCTTCTTCAAGTCTCTCAATGTGTTGCAGAAGTCGAGCTCCTAGGCGTTCAGCAGCATTTATGAGAAGAGACATTATAAAAGCTTTCGTGGATGGAGTGAGAGCACGGATCAATTCTAGCAGTAAAGTTCGTCCATCTGCTAATCCTTCTTCCGAACATTCACCTTCCGTCAAGGCCTGAAAACCCAAATTAACACGGATTGTTAGAAACTACATGAGGTCGGAAGAACAAAAGGTTAAACGGACCAAAACAATGTGCTCGAGTTGTTGAGTAAGTGGAGGTCTTTCTGCTATCGAATCAATCGACATTTTCGTGACGGTTTCATCCGGCAAAGTCTGGACGATCTGAAGAAGCTGAATGGTGATAATCCTGAATGGAAATTATACACCATCCGTATACTATTTC